ATTTGGTGAGGCACCAGAAATATTTGATAAAAAGAGACTAAAGACCTTGTAAAACTACAACTCTTGTGATTCTTTAGCATTGAGCCATGGCACTGTAGATCCACTCTAAATATTAAAACTAGAATGCTATGACAAAGATTCAGACAAATGGACACTGCTATGACCATTGATCATTTTAATTATTCAATTGCTTGAAGGAACACTTATGACACCCTTCCTCAGTCTCAGGTGTTCATGTTTTCAGCAACAATGAAGGGAAATTGACCACTTAACAAAGCAGAGAAAATGTAAGTGGTTATCATTTTGTTGTCCAAAAGCTCCATCTGGAAATTATTTATGAGAAATGCCGATTATTGTGAACACTGCTATTTGTTCTTCCAGAGAACAGTTTACAACTAGCTTATCTTGTTCTGGTCTATGTTATTTCAGTCTGTTCCTCTTCAGCCTTCCCATTCTCTTGCTAATAAATAAACAATTCCTTTGACTTGTGGTTTTTAGTTACTTAAACTCTATTTCAAGGGAGGCTGAGTCAAAGGACATGCCATGTGCACTTAAGATTTGAATGCAAAAACTTTTTTTATTTTACAGAAATTAAATTTGAAGACTTGACATATCACAGTATAGAGAAGGCTGCTGCATAGAATGATGATAAGCACTGCCTTCTTTCTGAAAACAATTAGCACTAGTCATAGAGTCTCAGAATCAGAGTTGGCCATAGACCATCATGTCCAACACACATACACTGTCCCTACTCAATGCGAGAAATCCAGCAAGAACATCCCCAGCTATAGTTGTCTAGAAAGGAGTAAGAGACTCCACCTGTCTTGGAAATTGGTTTCACTGTGGAAGGGCTCATCTGTATACTGCCATGATTAGTTTTATTGATTTATTATGATTTACTGTATTTCTATACCACCTTTCTCACCCCTGGGGCAGACTCAATAGTTTTAGTAAGGCTGCTTAACTCAATTTTGACAATAGCTGACATCTTCCTGTTGCGTGTATTATTTGTTGGGATCTATCATATGGGATATACTAGAAATGCTGTAACTGCAATATTTGGTACCCAGGGCCAGCAATGAGAAGGTATGGTTACCATGCAGTGTCAGATCCTGAGGGCATCCTCTTAAACAACAAAGAAGCTCTAACTACATTCTGTGCTGGTCACATAGACCTTAGAGAGCAATTACCATGCATGCATTAGATATTGTTCATGCACACTTTTTCATTGACAACCCTGAAGTTCTATAAAATATTGAGTGTTAGAATGCATTTTATTTTTTTTCAAACTTTGCTGTGAGTAGATTGGTCTGAATGTAGTGCTGGGGCTTTATGATTTAGCCAATATTATTGTTGTTTGTTTGTTTATCTTACTGCTCAGTTTAAGGGCTCACTCCAGCTCCATGTTTTATTTGCGAAATTGAGCTGTTATTTCACTCCTACCCAACATAGAGATTCCTCATAAATAAAGGAAGAGCTTAGCTCAACATACAGTGGCTGCTAACCATTTAAAATATCCAGTATGAAATAGGTCTTATATCTACTGTAAGGATCAATTTATACTGATGGGTTATCTAGTCTTACAAAGAACCAGGAAGCATGGCTATTTAGTGGAACATAACTTCTAAAATCAATTCTGAAATCAGGCTCTATCTGCATTATCTTTGTGAGACAATCACATCTATCGAATCCACAATTTATTTTATGTTGCTTCTTGAAAAACACATTAATCCAGAGGGTATTTATATATTTATTTTTCAAAGTTATATTAAAAAATTCTACATCTGAAAGAGTTTTTTAAAACGTTGAAAGGGCTTATTTAAAATGTAGGGGAAATCAATGAACACTCTTTCAGATAGTCAATAATCTTGGTAAACATCAGGCTATTTTGTTATTTACTCTCTCAAAGTCATTGTTCTCATCAAAAAGGTTGTAAGAATATGGGAGTTTCACAAATATTCTTTTTCTGCTTGAGGTTTAGGTAACTGTGGTGGAGGCAAGGTTTTGTTCCTTCTCTATCCTTCACAAGTCAACATGTGAAATTGTGTGTTTTAGTAATTCCAAGGAAGGGGGATATGGAAGGGAGGTGGAATGGAGGGATCTTGCCTTGGGATTGAAAAGTCATGGTGAGTTTTGGAAATGCATGAGAAATGAGGAGCATTTGAAGATACATTGTAGGAATATTTCAAAAAGAACACCTGATCCAAACAAGCACAATGTCCACCAAATCACAAGACAATTTGCCAATACAGATGAGCACTATGTTAGATCACTCATATATATTTCTACTGTTTATAGAGGGGCCATTCTTTCTGCCATCAACATCTCCAGCTGACCTCATTCAGCAATTTCATGTAGTTGTTAAACAGCATGAGGAAGAAGGTACAGCTGTCCAGGAACTCATAGAAAAAGGAAAAGGGCAATGGCCCCAGGATGAATAAAACCATGTATTGTTTCAGGGTGTGGGATTAGGCTACATCATTGGTTTTAATATTGTATGACCCAAATGTTACACAGCGGGAAAATTTTTTGAAATCGATAGAATATAGGCAGAAAAGAAGGAACTATTTTAAAAACCACTCCCTCTATCTTCAACATGAACAGAACTCCATCTCCAACATAAACAGAACTCCATTGAGTGCAAGTTTGATGCAACCCAATGCTTTTAGATAATTTGATTCCAGTTAGAAATAATTAATTAGGTGTCCCTCTGAAAGGATGTAAAACATTATTGCTCCTTTCAACACAAAAAGCAACAAAACAAAAATTTAACACATTATTGTACAAAATTCAGCAATTTTGCAAAAAAAATGAGCATAGAGTTTTGTTGTTTGTATGAGATTCATTTTTCAGTGCAAGATTTTTACTCATACAAAACTGTTGTTTTCTACATAATAACAGCAATCCTACATGAAACATACATATGGATACCTGAAAACAGATATTCTTTTGCACAAACTCCATAATTCAAATGTTACACCATTTATTTTCTATGCCAAACACTACAATTTTCATGGAAGTTTGTATGATTTTGAATGGAAGATGCATGGTTTCCAGAAGTACTTCCTTATTCTTTGCATGCTTGCTCGAGATTTTTATGGTGTTGTAAATTAGTTAAATTAGCCTCCCCGCAAACGCAATACCTAAACTTCCTTCTTGACAGATGCAACTGTTTTCAGACTGCAAAGGTCGACAGCAAGCTACACAAATTGGTCAGAAGCTCACTCCAACCCAGGCTGGCTTTGAACTCATGATCTTTCAGTCAGTAGTGATCTTAATGCAGCTGACTCCCAGCCAGCTGTGCCACAGTCCCGGTACTTTTAAAACCTTAGTTCCATATTATAGTTTCTTCTAGGAAGAGCAGATATTGTGAAAATCTGTGTTTTTATGATAAAACAGCTAAAGATGTTTTGCAGTCATGGATCCAGACAGAACATTATTATATTGTCTAGTTAAGAGACCATATCACAGCAGGAGTATGAATTAAAATATTACAGGCACAATTAGTTATAATGGAAAGCCATAATGGAAGGCTCACTGGTTTCACTGGAAAATTAATTACATATACATCTCTCTCCAATTAAAACCAAAGTGATTTTCATGAAAATGTATATATAAACATTCCATACCACAAACTTTGGATTAGGTATTACTGCCCAATGTATTCATATGCTATCAAATAATAGAAGAATAATCCTAACCTGATTTTATTTCTACTGCTTCACATATTATAATGTGAATGTACATTGTGTTTCAAATCTTGTAAACTCTTGACAGCTGTAATATGTTCCATCTACATTACTTGTGATTTTTTTATTTTAACTTTCATTGGCTGGCATCAAAATGAATAGCACCTTAAGCATTCCCGGAATGTCCTATTTCTTTCCCCCTATACATTCTGTGAAAATTAATTATTTCTTATATACTTTCCTTCTAAAATGTGAATATCAACTATTCATCTTTCAAATTGAAAACTTCACTCACAATTTTTTAAATATATAGTGTCTTCAGAAAGGAAACACACACTGAACTACAAGAAACACACTCTTTGAGAATATATAATTCGACAATGTATGAGAGATGTTTCTGTTGTAGGAATGGCTGTGCCCTAAGAAAAGTCTACTTAAGACTGGCGGTCATTCTTGGCAAAGGAAAACTTGAACACTTTTCATTGAGTTGAAATCTGGGTTCCAAGTCCATTGCTCTAAAAAAATACAGGCTTACAATCCAGGTGTAAAACAGGATTCTTGCAATTTCTGCTCTAGTACAGAGTAACTAATCCAGCATTGAAATGCACATAGAACATTTTCCTTTCTGGTTTATTTTACTTGCTCAAACAAAAGGGAAAGTAAAACAGGACTACATAAGCAGCATGAACCCAAACCAGTATTGTGTTGGCACTAGTGCCTCACTGCACTTCCTAGAGATCGCTAGAACCCAATTCTAGAAGTTTCCTCAGCCCCCTGGAATTAGTTTTGGGGTGCATTGCATAAAAGGGGGGATATCAGCTTCTCACAATTCCATTGGAGTTTGCTATCTTGGTAATAGAATTCAGTTATGAGCATTATCAACATATGTATCTCATTCACGACAAGCCAACATCTTAATATATGTAAATGGATCTAGTGTGAGAAGAACATAAACAGCAACTCTTGCCTAGTTCCTACTATTTTCTGAAAGGAAAGCAATGAGTTTCATGAATGTCAACAATTCTCAACCAGTATAGATTTGGCAGAACACCATGTTATCACTTGAAATTTTTTTTTGTACTGCTTTTAAACTAGTTTAAGATATTCATCCGCATGATCAACCTTGCATGCATCCCCTCCCCCCCAAAATACACACAGTCAAATCATAAATCAACTCATCAGCTCATCACAGTTTTACTTTTAAACTGACTAAAATATTCACCAAATATATTGTGAACAACTTCACACATCCTTTTACAGTGCTACATTTTATAGACTTTTGGAGTTAACATAATTTTTATAATCACTTACCGACAGTATCACATGGTTCATCTTTATGTACACAGAAATCCTTCCTAAAATCAGGAGAGAAAAAGATATAAGCCTTGGGGGAAAAAATCTTTCTGTCAAGAGTACTAGTAACTATGGGGTTCATTTGCACATAATCTAATAGTTTAACAGCTTTTAGAAAAATCTTCCATTAAAAAAGATTACAATGAGCTTAAATCTTGTGGCTTAGAGCTCATTATGTTAAAAAACACTCTTGCACTATTGCCCTTTATTTGCTGTCTATATAATGCCAGCTTTGCAATTCATTCTGGCTAGCTGAAATTCACTGCTTTTGCTTGACTTCCTCACTAAAGCCACTGTAGCATCCTTTCTCTCTTTATCATTTTCAATACGTAACATTCCTTGTATTTAGATACATTGATCCTGCTATTCTAGGGCTAAAACAATAAAGTTCAAGTCATATAGATATAGTTTCAAGAAAATGAAAAATCAAAGCAATGAAATTATCTGAATAAACAGAAACCCCACAGAGCTTCAGAAAATTCTGGACTGCAGTTATTTGCTTAGAACATTTTTCACATTTATAGATCTGTATAAATAAGTTAATCACAACAGAAAAAGCAATGGGTATAGTAATGCCTTGAATAATGAACTGATGATACATTCAGATACAATAAAACTTATTGAAATAAGATATTGTGTGGGTATTTGTCCTACATCAGTGGAAAATTTGCAACCCCAAAAAGTTCATGACATTTGAATCCTATTTTGGGACTCGTCATGAGATGACATTTTATCACAACATTTCTGCTTTCCATTAGATTGAACCATTGCTTCATATGCCCTATTTATTGACACTGAAGCCTCATTTAGTCATTATGGCTGCATACACTAAAGGAACAAGTTGAAAACATGTATTATTATTATTATTATTATTATTATTATTATTATTATTATTACCCATTCCTCCTGATGGCTTGAGGCAGGGTACAACAAATTATGAACATCAAATATATACAATAAATTACATAGATAAAAATACTTTTAAAACTTGTATTGGACACAGATACAGATGAAAAGGTTCTCTGAGTGACAGCTGTCAGTCAGGTTCTGGTGGGTTGGAGTAAGCGTCCTCCAGAGGACCTAAGTGTCCTAAAAGGCAGATTGTACAGAAGGTGATTCTGTAGTTAACCTGGACCTAAAGCATATTAAACTAAGTACAATGATATTTCAGCTAAAATAGTGTTTGAACACAGAAAGCAGGAAAACTACGTATTTTTTTCTTTGCAGGAGCCCATGCGTTCATGCAAACACATGACTGTTTAGCAGTTGCATCCTGTTCAGCAGTTACAATATTTTAAGCTTGGCTTAATATAACGTAATTGTAGATGATTCACAGAATCAGAGTTGGAAGAGATCACAAGAGTAAACTAATTCAACCCCATGCCATTCAGGAAAATACATCTAAAGCCATGAACAAATTAATGTAATGCCAAAAAATAGAAAGCACAAAGACTGAAACTTTTCCAAGGCAATTGAGATTGGGGTTCTGGGAAAATATGCCTGGAGCAGACTTCCAGGCATTGGTAGTTGGTCCAGCAATTGTGGCAGGACCAGCTGCATGTTCTGCAGGCATTCAATGACTGGACAGGATGTGGCAGACAATATTTCTCCAAAGCCTTGCAAATGTTTTGGTCGGGGTGCTGCCACACTGAAGGTTGGTAGTGCTCGGACCAGATTGAGGGGCATCATCTGTCATATCTCTGATGATGGAGCTCCAAGATGATGGTGCAGGATCTTGGCTACATATGTTTATGCTGTTTGCATAAAAGTTACGTAGCCTGCCTCGGCATACAGACCTTTGTACAATAACCTACATGTGGCTTTCCGGCATGTATTTTCTGTGCAAAACTCAAAATGTTTGCATGGAAATCAGGAGTTTTGGGTTTGTTTATTTTTTTTTGTTTGCTTGCTTTGCTTTGCTGGAGTCAGTGTACTTTGCACCAAATTCATGGTTTCTTTTCCCAAATATTTTTTTTTTCCCAACAGGAAAACTATGATTATATTTGCACAAATGAATTTTCTATATGTCCTGAAAAATGAAGACTCCTAAGGCCATTCCCCTTCTCCTCAACGAAGCATAACAAGTGTTATGACATCTTTCTTTCATTAATGATTTGAGTACTAACAAGTATTCTTTACATTCCTAGTCCATCCTAGTTTGGAAAAAGTCTAAGGGTGTCAGGAATACATTTACATTTTGTCACTGATATCATCCCATATTTCAAAAATAGGATTAAAACATTCAATACAAAATCACAAAAATGTAGTTTGTCAAAGCTTCAAGATTTATAGTAATAAACTCACTAAGTTATATTACATGCAGACTTTTGTTTTGGCTGAATTCTATCTTGGTTGAGATATACTTCCAAATGTTTAATTACGAGGGTTTGGGGAAATAGAACCGTTATGTTTTGGCAAGAGTGAAATGTACTTGCATCCTGTTTGCATTGAAACAAATGTACAACATTCCCTAAGTTCCAAGAATAAAGATGTATTCCTTTGGGAGTAGACTGCCCAATAAAAGTTTGTTATACTCTAGATAAATCTATAAAATGTTTCATTTTTTATTTGTCCTTTTCAGAGGAATGGAGGAGGATCATTATGTTGCATTTGAATTTTAAACATACATTGCATCACTAGTAAAATAACTGTTGCTGAAATCTTTCAGTGGATTTGGTATTGTCTGAAATTTACTGGCACCACTTTCAACTGCTTTAAAGTCTTAGTAAACCAAGAGTACCAAATACAGTTGAAGCCCTAATGTACATTCATTACTCCCACCCCAGCTTTAGCCTATCGTCTCACAAATCCTTCTCTCTCTCGATTTTTCTTATTGTATACCAAATTCCCTTAAAAGATTTTGAAAACCCAAATTATTTCTGGATTGGAGTTTGATTTCTAAATCATTCTGCTCTTTCATCCTATTTAATGATCTATCAAGTATGTCTAAAATAATGTCATCTATGAAATCTGGAATCTACAATGGGGAGTCTACACAGGTTTTTTTCTATCAGGAAAAATTGTGTATTTTTCACAAGTGGTTTACGAAGCTTATAGGGGGAATAAGAGACCTTTATTCAAATGGGAGTACAATATAATTTTTAAGAGATTTATGACAGATTTCTAAACCTTAAATATAGTGACTAATGACAGAAAAGAATCTGAGGCAAGAATGGGCAACTTTGATTCTGTCATTTCCATAAATTATACTTTACTCATAAATTTTTAAACCTATTAAATGCAGCACTAGTAAATGTCCTTGGGGCAATGCACAGCTTAAAACATCTAGCTACTCAAGATAAAGCTTACTATTATACAGGAATCTCTTCAAAGAAACAAATAAAACAGGCAGTTAAGGCATGTAAAGAGGGTCTATATAGCAAATGATAAAGAAATACAGCAGATGAGAATTATTTAGGGGGAAACTCTGCACAGTAATTCTATTCAGAAGGTTTTTATAGAATTTAAGCTAGCTATTTCAACTGTATTTTATAGTTTATTTCTATTAGCCTTCGTTTCTAAAGCAAGATGGTATTAGAATTTAACATAAAAAACACTAACATTAAAGTAACTGATTACAATATTTTAAATTAATCTGATAGTATCCCAATGCTACTTATTTAAGATCAGCTCAGATGGACATCAATAATGAAAATTAAAAAATAAAGTACCCCCTCCCCTTTCCATGGTTGTGCAGGCATCTTTGTGGATGCTAGGAAGAGCATCTGGCAATCCCAAGTATTTCCATAGCCATTTGCTACAATGACAGGAGTGTGACATTTTCCCCTTTGCCACCAAGCATATGAAAAATAGGATAGTAGGACCAGCTTATGTGGATAGCAGACCAGAACTTAGAGCCAGACCAACTGTTCACACTCACCCCAAAGTGTGAGTTGCTGCAGTATTTAGTGAAACTCAAGAAAGTTCTCCAACTCCTCCTTACATAAGGTAAAACCAGGTTAACTCATTTTCTCCCACAACATGAATCAGAAGTCCCTTGACAGGATTTTGACATCCAGGGATGACTTCTGTTTCCATATGCCATTTGAGGCCAATGTAGTAGTAGTAGTAGTAGTAATAATAATAATAATAATAATAATAATAATAATAATAATATAAAACTTTATTTATAGACTTCCCTCTCTCCCCAAGGGAACTCAGGGTGGCTTACACACCAAAAAAAGGCAAATATTCAGTGTTCTACACAAATACAAGCACCTCAAAGATAATACCAAATAATACAAAATAGTAACCATAAATCTGTGACAAAAAAAGAAATTAACATCATAATAGAAAGGAGAATATGAATAGTAAAATAAACATAATTATACTAATAACATAATTAACAAACAAGCCCTATATTTTTGGGCATTAGAATTTCAGTGAAAATTCTTCACATACTTTCAGAACAACATGGACTTTATTAGCTCCCATTTCATTTCTTACTGCCCAATGACAAGTTTCCACAACATACCAGCAGAACCTTTTATTTTGTAACAGCTTCTGTGCTTTCAAATATTAGAAAGACTGTTTGCCCAGTTCTGGATTTATTATTTAAAACACTTAAAAAATCTAAACAAGCTAAGGATGTATGGAAAACATGACACACATTAAACAATGAAGATAGTAAACAGTTCTTTGAAATACTTCATCGTTGCATCTTAGTAATATTATTATAATGCTGAAGATCATATTTATATTTTGAATGTTGACCTAAGTTCAGTTAAAGAATTTAAAAGTACATACATTATAATTTTTACTTTAAGAAGCAATTCTTAATGGAAAGCAATTTTCCACACAAATTATGGAACTGACTCCTTTATAGCTTTAGATATTGTAAATTGAAACAGTGTTATATGAAACATTATGGATTCTTTTTTGAAGATTCACCACTGAAGAAATTTACAAAAAATTTAATTATCTTACATACACCTTTTTTTAGTCTCATTCCCTTTCATATCATCTTTCTTTTATTTGTTCAGTTTGAGAAAATGTTTGTATCAAGCTCACAATATACTTCACCTGGTAATTAATATGGCTGCATCAACTGGTGACACATCTTCACCCCAGCTTGTTGACATCTCTAAATGGATATCATTTTTCTTACCAAATTCTTCATGCTGCCATTTACAAAAACTCTCCAGCATTTTTTCACCATGATGTCCAATATACATATCTGCCTGAAAAAAATATATAGTATTTTGTTTAAATGAAAGTACCTGCATAACATATAACAAAATGCATAACATATAACAAAATGTTAACAGAGAAGCCATACCTATATCTATTATATATAGATATAGATATAGACACACACACACACACACACACACACACACACACATACATATATATATATATATATATATATATATATATATATATATATATATATATAACAGTTGCTATATACTACCACCCTGGTAAAAAAAAATATTTCCATTTTTTATTAAAATAAAAATCCTATTTATATAAATGTTTGATCACTGATATATTTTAGTTGCTTTAGACAATTTGTGCAAATAGAACCACATTGTTTACAGAGATGCTTAACCTCAATTAATTTTCAAAGATTACATTAAAATTGTGGATGGTGACGAAAGAGAATGCTGTCATTCATAGTAGAGGGGTGCATTCCACTGTTTAACACAACTTCCCCTTTCAGCCCTACCCCAAATTATAATGACAGGTGCTGCATATGCTTTATTTTAATTGTTTATTACACATCCCTTATATATATTGTTTAGTATAAAACCTTTACATAGAAAAGACAAATGCAGTAGGGTTGTTGTAGGTTTTTCGAGCTGTAAGACCATCTTCTAGAAGCATTCTCTCTTGACGTTTCACCTGCATCTATGGCAGGCATCCTCAGAGGTTGTGAGGTCTGTTGGAAACTAGGAAAACTGGGTTTATATATCTGTGGAAAGTCCAGGGTGGAAGAAAGAACTCTTGTCTTTCTTCTGATCTGATCATTTCTCGTCTGTTTGAATGTTGTTCTTTATTTACAGTTATAATTTTAGAGTTTTTTTTAATACTGGTAGCCAGATTTTATTCAGAGACAGCTAATCACCTCTCAACAAAGGAATCCTCCAGGCAGTAACAAGCCACACCTAAAAACTGTCAGGCCATTAAATGCTAATCAAGGAGGCCAATTGAAACATTCACACCTAGCTCCAACAGCGTTCTTTCTCCCACCCTGGACTTTACAAATTTATAATCCCAATTTTCCTAGTTTCCAAAAGACCTCACAACCTCTGATGATGCCTGCCACAGATGCAAGCAAAACATCAGGAAAGAATTCTTCTAGAACATGGCCATACAGCCCAAAAAAAGCCAACAACCACCCAGTGATTCCGGCCATGAAAGCCTTTGACAATACAAATGCAGTACTTTCTTACTGGAGTCTCATGAAGCAGAACAAGCTTAGTTACTCGAAGGCTCACTTGAACTCCAAGGCTCTTATGTTGAAAAAGGTTAAACACCTAAAACCAAAGAAGGAACAAAAGAATTAAAATATTTCTTACAAAATTAAAATCATAGCTGATGAGAACAGAAACTTATAATTTTGTGATTTGATAAGGTACAATTTGATCCTGTTCAGATTAGAGCACACAGATAACTTTATTATTCTTGGTAATGGCACAAACTGGTGACCTCTATTTTGTTTTTGTTTTACTGAACACACAGGCCATCTCAGAACAAACTAATACAATGAAGCAATAATGGGCAAAAGATAAGTCAATATAGTTGAAAATTTTACAACTCTCACTAATAGGACTTTAAGAAGAGATCTCTGTGAGAAAGACACACTGAGATCTCAGAGTAATAATTCATGGTTGTTAGTATCAATGTATTTCCTTGCTGCCAAGTTCCAAACTTCCCTACCATGTTTAGAATTGTTAGAATAAATCTTCTTGCTGCATCTGCTCCATGATATGAAACCATAGCTGGGTCCGCAACTACCACAGTCTCCACATTATATTCTTGAGGTAATTTATAGGAATATCTCTTTCCTCTTCCACTCTCTGTTCTCTTTTGACCTTTGGCTCTTCTTTTCTCTGCAACAAAACCAGGAGACAAACATATGAACATATGAAGCTGCCTTAAACAAATAATTGTTTAATCTAGATCAGTATTATCTATGCAATCAGTCAGCAGTTCCCCAAAGTTTTAGGCAGGAGACTCTTTGGGGGAGTGTTGTTTTTTAAGGGTTTGATTCAGAGCTCTGGTAATGATCAACATATAATTTAAATATATATCTTGGATTCAACTAGAGATGTCCACTAAATGTGTAGGACCTCAGAAAATTATATCTGAAAAGTAACAATAGAAGGAGAAGGCATACCTCACAAGAAACCCTAGAAATTACCAATCCTTGTCTTTATTATCACTAGTGCTTAGAGTAGACATATCTAGGAACATCTTAAGTCACCTAATTCATGATTAAAGGGAATGCTATTTGATATGAACATAGTAATTTATGACAATACTCCTTAGGAAATGCTCTAAGGAGCCCCCGGTAGTGCAGTGGGTTAAACCCCTGTGCCGGCAGGACTGAAGACCAACAGGTCACAGGTTCAAATCCGGGGAGAGGCGGAAGAGCTCCCTCTACCAGCTCCAGCTCCTCATGCGGGGACATGAAAGAATCCTCCCACAAGGATGATAAAAACATCAAATCATCTGGATGTCCCCTGAGCAACGTCCTTGCAGACGGCCAATTCTCTCGCACCAGAAGCGACTTGCAGCTTCTCAAGTCACTCCTGACACGACAAAAAAAGGAAATACTCTTTTTCCTCTAAAATGTAATCACTCCCTCCCACAATCTGAAAATCAGAGGCTTTCAAGGATGCCTTCTTTGATTAAATAACAAGGAGAATCACTCTCCAAACTTTTCCTTCAACATGCTGAAAGTGCCAAGTCAATGTGTTCAGACAGAGAAATAAAGGGGCAGAAGATGCAACATTTTACTTCCCTTTCATGCCTTCCCTTCTATGTGGAATGGTACCACTATTTCTTGCTGTTTCATTGGGAGAATGAAACAATGACTGATACTGAGACAGGATGGAGAACTGCTGAAGTAGGATGATTCCCTTGTTCTTCTCATTTTATGTGACCATTATTGAGAAAAAAACACGGTCCCTTGGTTGATAAGACACTGGAAGAATCCAGTGACTGGGACATAGCTCCTTCTCCAAGAGCTGATAGGTCCTGGGAATCACTCACCACTTCCTTAGAAGGGGATGATTGTTGGCCCTGTCACAGCTGCATCAGAGAAGGTACAAAAATAAACTATTTCTACTGAGCATAGAGTGAACAGAGGTGTAAAAGAAGAGAAAAATATGTGTGTTGTGTATTTTTCTGTAATTCGGGTCTCTGTGTTAGATAGGTCAATCTCTTCACAGAACCCACAGTGTGAAGGCCAAAACATTTCCAAGAAATTTCATAGTTGTCACATTACACTCAGACAAGGAAGGAACAACCTCCAAATACTTCTTGTTGCCCCCCCCTTTAATGATAGAGACAGAGCAGGAACAATTTGATAGGGCAATCGTTTCCACCCCTTGATCCTCCACTGGAATCCCATACACTTAATTTCCACAGCCCATTCACAGTCTCCTAGCCCATTCTCCCACCACCAAATTCTTCGTTGAATTTACTACTGCTATAACAGTAGTAAGGAAAAGAATATTAAAATGTCTATAGAGTTCTGGATTCATGAGAATCTGCATGCTTATTCTGTGCAAATTTCAAATGTGCAAATTTTCAGTTATTTGTATAGAATCATAGAGTTGGAAGAGACATCGTGGGCCATCCAGTCCAACCCCCTGCCAAGAAGCAGGAAAAGTATTTTATAGAAAATAATATTGTATAGAAAATAATATTTTCTGCACAGAAAACACATATCTGCACAAAAAAATGTTTCTACACAGAAATATTCCTTTCTACATAGAAATATGTTGCTTTGCACAGAAAATAGCATATTCTGTTTAAGAGATGGCATTTTATGTGTATGAAAGAATATTTCTGTGTAGACATATTTTATGTGCAGAAACCACTGTTTTCTATTCAAAAGAACCAGATTTTACACACAATAAGTCCAAAATTGTGATTAGGTTTCAAAAGTTATGTGTTCTTTTAAGACTTTCTAAGAGCTGGAAAATATTTGTTAAAATTGCGTATTGCTTCCTTTGAGAATACACTTAGTGGAGCATTAGCATTGGTAATGATCAGCTCAAAACAAAAAGAATTTTCCAGCCAAAACTGCCACAAGTTGTTAGTCCTAAGCCTTCTACTCTTGAACTTCCACCTCCTACCCACAAAGTGTAACTGTTCATTAGTTGCTTTCACCCATGATGTTCTTCTTTTGTCTCCAGTATAACTATGTGATATGCCTCATTATGTGCTCTCCTAGTACTCTATGGTGTTGGAGGACATTCTGTCATTGTCTGCACCAAGGCTGTCACTGAATTTGAGTAGGAATTATAGTTCAGGAAGAGTTCTAGGAGAACCACTGCAAACCCTCCCCTCTGATCTCGAAGAGGTTACTCACCACTATATTGTACATCTTTACAATATAATTAGCTTCCCTGCTCATCCTAATCAACGTATTTAAAACAAAGAGTCAATGATATGCATAGAACTTAAAACAGGTGTTCCTTCAGTCATTTTCAGTACAAACATGCATCTGTTACAGGTTTAACATATACAAGTTTTTACCAAATTTAAAAAAGAAAGAAAGCTTCATTTTCTTGTCATTGGACACATACTACAGCAATGGTTTCCATGATTGATTCCCCAGATAGCTCTGGGTCTCAGCTCTCAATTGTCCTGACCACTGCTTATGCTGGTAAGAGTTTCTGGTAGTTGAACCATTGAAGCATAGAAAAAGAACTGCTTGTTACAATCACAACTCTCTGCATTCCCACAGCCATTATATAAGAATCACATGGAAAAAATATATGAAAAAGTACTTCTCATGCTACAGGTACACAGAACCTATAGTTGGCATACTCTGCATCTACACACAGATTATGAAGCAGCCCCCTTTACTTTCACCTTATATGTCAAATGTAGTTAGACACCAACATTTTCTTTCAAACTATTTAAAAGTACATGAATATATATCTTTTTTTCAAAATGGAAAGAAAAAGGTAATAAAATGCAATGCTATCCTTTCCCACTTTTCATTCCCTGAATCTTGAAGGCCTAAAAGAATTGTAGTTTATTAGTTAAGCTTTCTAATAAAGGAATGCTGATTAAACTGAATAAGTATCATTTTGTGATAAAATTCTAGTGAAAATGCTTTGGCTATATTTATTCTGCAACTCTCCCAATAGAAGTGTCTCTGGAGTATTTTGCCCCTTAGTTGCTGTTTTTAAAAATAATTTACAACAAAAAGACTATTATGTACACAAATGTCACATTTAATAGTTTTCTTTCAGTTCAAGAGATTATTGATTCCAGCAACATTCTCTGTTTAAAATTGCTCAACTTCCCCATGGTCTCTCAGTGGGAATTCTTGCAAACTGAAGAAACTCTTCAAGTGCAACCAAAGCATACAGTGTAAGTACCATGCCAGACCACACAGATGAGAGAGAAAAGAAGAAAGGGTGTGTTTGTGTATGTTGGGGGAAAGGGGGGGGGAGGTTTACAAAACAAAACAACCAAAAACAATAAAAGGTCCTAATGATACCTTTCTGCAGTGTTCCACATGTCATTATGAGTTAAACATATGGAAAAAAGTAAAACTACTATTTATTTTGGATAAAAGAATGAAAGGGCAAACATCTTAAAATTTCCTAAGGCGAGGTTTCAGAGACAAGCCAAGATAATTTGTTTACAGCCATCCCTGTCAGTTTGAAAATCTAGAACAGGAAGAGAAAATTGTATTTCATCTTCTTATCCCAGAACTGCAACCATAAGGAAAGCCGTGACGAGGAAGATAAAGTACATAGTTTCCTATCAGCTTCATTGCAAAACTAACAATAAGAGAAGTTAGAGGTAATTCAATTTTCTATGGTTGAGACTGACTAGTAAATATTATAATTAACTTAATTTTAATGTAGTCATATTTATTCTGTTTAGCTTGCAATGTCTATCAGCAAGATAAGCCTCAGTTATCTAGCTAATTAATTTGTTCTTTAAAAATGTAAGTACAGCTTGGTTTGCCTTTGCTGGCAATCACAACATTCAAGCACTACAAAAAAAAAAAAAACCAGACAAGAACAAAAAAACAAAACAAAAAAGAAATCAGTTGTCATAGCAGAAGAGAAAGAAATCTCATCCAAAAAGGAGTTAAGAGGATTATTTGTGACTTGCTTTCTAAGAATTTTGGCACATCAGTTCTAAACACATTTGCTCGGATGCTGTAGTATCTTCCAGTTAAACTCTTTTCTATGTAGCAGGGTATTTTAAACAGAGACAGAAATCCCACATTCTTGAAAGTGATCATGACAAATTTCAGTGAAACTTACTTTAAAGTATGCCTACAATGACACCCCTATCTATTATCTCTCTCTACTAACAAAGATTACTTAACATAAAGAATACAGGACAGGGGTATTTGCCACTTTAATTACTTGGACTCAGGCAATTCGAACAGTCGCCAAAAGTGAAGATTTAAAGAGTGCCTATTGCATCAAAATATTTTAATGGAGGTTACATTACCAGTAAGAACACCACAGTACTGACTATGAGAAGTGGGATTTTCAGTGGCTCTCTCATGTATGGACCTTTTACGTCTGTATACTCGATGTGCATGACCTGTCACAGCCAATGTGTGATTGAGTGGTTCAATAAATATGAAGTCGTCATTCATCTGCAAAAAACCCATCTGCAGGGGAAAACAAAAGCAACAGATATGGCATGTTACTTAATGCATGGCTCCATCACGCCATGTACAGAATGAATTGAAATAAAGTCTTAGTATGTTCTAAAAACTGCTGCATCAGCAAATAATATTGATAATAATGAGCTGCACCTACTGCTACAACATAAATATAATGTTGCAAATCACAATGCAGGCAGATCCAAAAGTGCAGATCTAGAAAATTCAGAAGTTATATCCTTTTGGAAAAGCTGCTTCTCCTGCTTTGTTTTGTCCCTTTAATTCACAGCACTAAAATGTCATTTACTTTTATTTCATCTGTGTGTGTGGGAGGCAACACTCCAACAGAAAATGCACAGTGAAATATCTAGAATGCTAAAAGCCTACATGTAGAGTACAATCTATACATTTGTTTTGAATGGCACAATTTGTATTAAACAAAAAGGTAAAGGCATTCTTCAAATGCCACATTTCCTTTTACATGAACATAAATTCTGTGTATGGAACAAGCTTCATAAATCAGTGGGGAAAATGTTCAGGCTGTCACAAAGGAGGAAGAGTACATTACTGCTCAATTGACTTAACCAAGGAAGACACAGCGCCCATCCAGACAGTACCTTTATTGTGGTATCTACCGCAATAAAGAAGGGGCTGTCCAGATAACATTCTGGACAGTCCTGAATTAATTCGCTACAAACCAGGTAAACCCTGGTTTATAGTGAATTAATTAGATAGTGGGTTTATTCCATGCCTTCTTGGAAGGCGCAGGATAAACCCACTATTTCTGGTCCTGGACAGCAGAATACTGCAGTTGAGATAGTATACCCACAAGCCCCAAGACACCTTTAAAAAGTAATGAAAACGTACCCGGCCTCCATTACAGGCTTCGGCCAACTCTCCTGGCATGTAGAAATGATATGCCAGGAGAGCGGGGGGGGGGGGGGCGGGAGGATTCTCCCAACCCTAACCCAGCTCTCTCTCTATGTGCCAGCTGGCTGAAGCCTGTAATGGAGGCCGGGTAAGTTTTCATTACTTTTCTAAGGGGTCTGGGGGCTTCAGGGGAGGGGGGTAGGGCCTCCAGACATTCTCTCGGACTTTCTGCCATGGGTATGGAGAGGCCCCCAGGAAAATCCATGTTTTTAAAACATAGACTCTCCTGGGATAGAAGCTTGTCTGAATCCGCCCACAGTTCTAAGCTTGGAAATTAGCAACTGAGCTTCTGATATCAAGGTAGCCCTTAGAAGCCTTTCATTCAGAAGGCTACACCAAGTCAAAGCCAACTCGATGGCATATAACAACAAGAAGGGGACATATAGTACAAGAGCTTTTTCCCACAAGTATAGAGTTTGGTAAAGCAAATGTGAACCGTGTGTTTTGAAATTCATATAGTGTTAGCAGAAAAAGACTGATTTAAAATGCACTTGTTTTTCATACAAATGAATGCTGTCTGTGTTGGAGGAAAAGATAAAGGATCTTTAAAAGGAAAAATAAATCAATAACTGATCCAACTGACCAAGTAGCTTCAGGGCCTCATCAGACAGGGCAATTTTAGCTTCCTAGAATGCTCCCACTCTGTTTTGGGGACAAAGCCCCATGCCGGCCTTCACACAATGTCATATGGCATTCTTTGGCTGCTGCAGTGGAGGTCCTAGGCTCAACTGGGAGGGGAGCATCCTTGGACGCTTCTCTCCCAACGCGGGATTCTATTAACTTGAGGAATCAGGTTTACTTTTCCATCTCTATTGCTTTCTGTCTAGTATTTAAAGTACTTTTCAGCCAAAAAGGCTCCTAGAGAGTTGTCAACTTGACAGGTCTCTTCTGCCAGACATAAAATCCAAATAAGACATGACACACAAGGAAAAACAAATGACATTGAGGTAGAGAATTGCATCCAGCAGATATTGCCTGTCCTTTCTTTCAGGCCCTCTCTATGCTGTCATATAAAATCCAAATTATATACTTTGAACTGGATTATATGGCAGTGTAGAAGGGACCTCAGAGGCCACAGCAGTGATGGTTCAGATGGAAGGAAGTTTTTTCATTAGCTGCTGGACCAAAGCATGATGGCACTGTGCCTAGATAGTGCTGAACTTTCAAATGCAAAGTTCAAGTTCAACCAGGAAGCTCACTGGGTGGCCTTAGATAAATCACTATAATTCAACCTAAGGCAGAGTGTAAGTAACTGTAAAGCCCCGAGTGCTTTAAAATGGTAAACAATAAAGGAGATAAAGAGGACCTCCTAATTCTGTGTAAAGGGCATGTTTCCAGGCTTTGACATAATTGTCTTTAATGGGGGGAAAGAGAAATAACATTTACTGCTTTAAGGAAACGGAATGTCTGGCAACTTCTTACCAAGGAGAGGAAACAAGTTTGATTTTAAATGATCAGAATATGAAGCAGGCAAATTAAATTCCCTTGAACACTCTGAAAGAGCAGCAATGAACTAACATGTTCTCAGTGTCCACTTAAAGATATAAAATTATGGAGCTGGTCAAATCCCAATTAGAAGACAGCACGATAAATGTAAGCTATTAAAACTCCTCTCCCTTGTGCCCACTATACTTACTTTGACTCAACAACATGCAAGCCAGATTTCAGAAGAAATTATTAATACACATGAAAGCTGATGTAAGTGTGGGCAGTACTTCAAGTAACTCATCCCAACCCATTCAAGGCCAAATGAGGGAAACTTCCAGGGGCCATAGGATAGGTTTTCCATCCCAGAAACCTTTAGGGTTTTTGCCAAAAAAAGTCCCAAAGCCAAAACTAGAAGTCTCTTTCTAGCTTTGAAAAAATGATACCAGAGGACCCTGAAACACATTCAAACAACAATTAGAAATAAAAAGGTGACTTGGGGAACACAAAAACTGTCTTTGTCTAATCCCACCCTTGATTTAGGGCTTTAGTGGCATATTTAGTTGGGTTCAGGAATGCATTGATAAGTACAACTGATATAATCTGAATCCCTGGTTACACTAGCTATATGCCCCAAATTGGGCCAGAGGTTACTCCTGGATGTCCAAAAGATATTCAATGTCTTCTAGTTCCTATTGCAGAGCAAAATCAGTTAACCCATTTTTCCCCTGTGTTAGAAATCAGGGAATGCTCTGGAGCTTCCCCAAAAGTCTGGAGACCTGTACTTTGGACTTGCTGTGAACAGCTGGACCTGTTCTAATTCAAATCAGTCTAGCTGATACCACCAAAGGCACCTCTCCAGAACTCTGTAGAAACTGTGAGAAACCATGGAAAAAGTAAGGGTGACCATTCAGTAGGACTGAAACAGGTTCTACCTGACTGAACGGTCAGGAATTTGTCCCTGCTGCTGTTGTAGTTTGAGAATGAAGCATGAAAACATTTCTTCATAATCTGGAGCTGGTCCAAAGCAGCAATAGGCCCTCGGTGTCACTTGTATATATATGTTTTTAAGTAGAGGTTGAGCATTCCTTATGCAGAATTCCAAAAACACTTCAAAATCCAAAATTGTTCACATTGTTCACATGGGTAACTTTTAGGCTTGGGTAACCATGGAAAAATTTGGTTCTAAACTTGTTTTGTTTTTAGGGGGCCCTTGTGTTTCGTTTTTTTTAAGAATTCCAAAATTTTCCTTTTAAAAATTTCAAAATATACAAAATTTCGTAAAATTACGAATCGATTCGTTAATGGCGGATGCAATTGCGCAATATGCTAAGAAAACCTCCAAATGGGACAGGGGGAACTTCTGAAGCTTCCCTCTCCCTCTGTTGTTGACTGTTGGTGTGATAAAACAAACAACAACTATATTATATTATATTATTATAATATTATTATAATATTATTATATTATATTGTTGTATATTATATTATAATATTATATTATAATATTATTATATTATATTATTGTATATTATATTATTATATTATATATTATATTATATATATAATATTATAATATAATATATAATATATATTATATTATTATTATAATATTATTATATTATATATTATATTATAATTGTATTTTATATTCTATTCTATTCTATTCTATTCTATTCTATTTTATACTAGCTGTACCTGGCAACGCATTCCTGTGGTATAGAGTGAGGGTATGAAAAATAAAGTAATGAGAAATTTTGGGCAAGAAGGATGCCAGGAGAAATAGGAGGGAGGGGGGAATGTGGGATTTGCCAGCTGGAAGGAAGGAAGGAAAGAAGGAAGGAAGGAAGGAAGGTAGCCCAGTGCAGCCCAGAGTGAGGCAAGAAGAAGCATGAGGAAAGAGGAGGGAAGCAGCAGAGCAAAGGGACCGGAAGTGGGGTAAATGCGAGATTGTAAAACTTGCACCAGACATACGAAAATAATTACGAAATAATTATGAAATAATTACGAAATAATTACGAAAATTGTTTCGATTCTTAATTACTCCTCACACTATTCCTGCATGGCTCAATATTGGATCGTAAGCTAATTTAAATACGAACTAATAACGAATAACGAAATTAACGAACTGGATCGCCCAAGCCTTCTAACTTTGCTTTGTTACTCAATGTACACAAACTTTGTATCATGCATAAAACACCTATCAAGGTCTATATACAGTATATGAAACAAATGAATTTCATGTCTAGAATTTCATGTCCAAATCCCAAACCGTTCTGGTCCCAGGCATTTTGAATAAGGGATACTCAGCCTGTACCTGCATTCTGCACCAATTGAAGTTCCCAAACATTTTATTTAGTATGGCTCTATATAGACCTTATTGTCGTAGTCCAGTCTCAATGCCTCAATAATGAATGCATGACCTTTTTTTCCAAATGGAGTCATGGTTTCCATATCAACTTGAACTAGAACTGCATATCTGTGGTAGAGTGTAACACCACCTGTGACTATTTGTATACAGTCATTTAGAATAGTCCATTTCCAAACACAAAGTACCCCAACATGTCTACCGTAAGCTTTAGTTTGTTAACTCTCATTCCGCCCAAATCTGACTTCAGGCACTTGTTCAGGGCCTTTGGGAGAAACAGATTACA